CAGATTTCCGGATAGTTCATCGTAGCTAAGTACATGGGAGTCTTGTCGACCTGCTTAGTTGCTGTTCTGAATTCGATTCCGATTAAAGAGAGATATCAAAGGGGTAGAGCCACTAGCGGAATGGTTGGAAGAATAATTCATGGGGGCATAGGCGGTGGTCTATTGGATCACAGAAATTTCTAGTAACAGTAGAGTTTCTTGCTTATAATGGTCTTCGTCGGGTGTCGCTGAAGCCTCGTTGTAAATCCCCTATGGTCGAGTACCAACCGAGTCGAGAATCGGCTTAAGCGAGCAAATGCGGTCACGTTCATTCCTCTGAGCCGCCCAACAATTATACATATATTTTTCGCTCTCACGCCATCGTCATCCCGCTCATTTCATCCATGGAAATCTAGCCATTAAAGAACGCAAAAATCAGACACAAACGTCTCGCTTCATTCTTTTCGAGATACGTATATTTTATCATCTTTTAGTTAGATTTAATTTCTGCAATTTATCTTTTCAGTTTCTTCGATTGCATTAACTCATTGCACTTTTTCTAATTAAATATAGGATATTTGCATATTCTCTGAGTTCAACCCGGATACTCACCGGTTAAAGAGATTTTTTATTTTTGACGAACTTTTTGGAGTTACTACACGAACACGCACGACACTATTTTCATATTATATATATATATCATATTTTTGTATATTAAAAGATATTTTTAAATCTCTCCAAAAATATTCGATCAGTCACACTTTATATGAGTTGAAGCAGGCCCCTCGGACTTGGTATGCCATATTTAGTGTTGCGCTAACGACTCTGGCCTATTCCTTCGTCGTTTTTCATCTGGGATAATTATACTCTTGTTTTATGTTGTGATATGATTATCACGGGAGATGATGTATCTGGTATTTATGATCTACAGACATATCTTAGCTAGCAGTTTGAGATGAAGAGCTTGGGTCCCCTTCGTTACTTCTTGGGGCTTGAAGTCTCTGATTTTTCCGATGGTCTCTTTCTCTCTCAGGCTAAGTATGTCTCCGATCTCCTTGCTCGAGCTGGTCTCACAGACTATCAGGTAGCTTCTACACCAATTGCCTACAACGTTCGACTTACTGCGCATGATGGCTCTTTTCTTGATGACCTATCCTCTATTGTCAACTTGTTGGAAGCTTGATCTACTGGACTGCCACTCAACCAGATATCGCTCATGTTGTTCATATTGTGAGTCAGTTCATGGTTGCTCTGAGAACCTCTCACCACTCTGCCGTCTTTCATATTCTTCGTTATGTGAAAGGTACTCTCCTGCATGGTTTACACTTTTCCTCTCACTCATCTTTGACTCTCAGCGGTTACTCTGATGCTTATTGGGCTGGTGATCCTACTGATCGTCGTTCAACTACTGGTTTTTGTTTCTTTCTGGGTGATTTTGTTGTCTCTTGGCGCAACAAGAAGCAGACTTTAGTTTCTCAATCGAATGCCGAGTCGGAGTATCGTGCCCTTGCTGACTCTACGTCAGAACTTTTATGGCTTCGTCAATTAGTCAATGATCTTGGTGTTCCTTAGTCATCTTCTACAGCTCTTCACTACAACAATCAAGAGTGCTATAAAGATGGCCCACAATGGTACCTTTCACGAGCGCACCAAGCATATTGAGTTTGACTATCACTTCATTCGACAACATGTCGTCGTCGGTGGTGCTGTCCATCTCATTTCAGTCTCCTCCGCAGATCAGATAGAAGATATTTTCACCAAGTCTCTTCTTCCTAGCCGCTTCTGATTACTTTTGGACAAACTGAAGTTGGTTTCTACGGCCAGGTCCGTTCCTGACATATTGAAGGCTTGGGGCAAAACTTAAAACGGAGGCCCCTACCAAATAATTTTTTTTAAAAAATAAAAAATTATTATTATTAAAAAATTAAAAATAGCAATATTTTAGTTTTATAAAATATGCTTAATGCAAAACAAATTAAATATTAAACAATACAACACAAAAGGGTTTAAACCAACTATTAATATTTTGGATTATTTCACCAACTTCATACATGTTGCCGCCGCCATGTTATCATATTTTATTTGCTATTTTGTGGGAGCTATTTTAACTGTATGTCTACAGAATATAAATAAAAATACATAAGTATTACATAAAATTACTTCTCCTAGCATTTTTTGATGCAAAATCATTAATAATATTATCAACATCAATGGTTTCTAGCATTTCTTTTTCAATAGATAACATAGCTAAACCATTCAATCTTTCTTGCGACATAAATGATCTCAAATAAGTTTTCAATAACTTTAATTTAGAAAAATTTCTTTTAGCAGATGCTACTGTTACAGGAACTGTTAATAAAATTCGATAAACAATTGAAACATTTAGATAACAATCAGTAGCTCTATATATTCAAGAATTTCAATAGGCGAATTTAAGTTATCCGGTATAGTAACTTGTAAAACTTTTAATTCAGTAATAAGATTTTCTAAATCAATATCACATAAATCATTATGAGATAAACTATTTAAAAAAACAACACTCCATTTTCTAAGTTCATCATCATTCAAAGATTTAAGCTTTTTAGAATTAAACAAAAACCCAAAAATACTATTAAATCTACTTAATTATTCAAATCATTCATTTAAGGATGTAATAGCCATATCAACAATAACCCGAAAATAATTAATCTTAAATTGTTCTTCATCAGATTGTATTCCATCTTCATTTTCATTTTCATCAAACTGTTTTTTTCTATAAATATGTTGTTTTTTTTTTGAAAATTTATATTCAACATCCATATTAAAAGCAACTTCTTTAACTTTCTCTAAACTAGAGTCAAATCCAACATTTCTATCATTTTTAAAATATTTTATAACATCTTCTATTTGTTTGACAGCAGTATCAACACAAACTGATTTAGATTGCAATGTTTTATTTAAAATATTAATTACAGATAAAATATCATAGCAAATTACCATACCAAGTAAAAATTCATAGGACTCGAGAGCATTTAATAAACTTTCAACTTCGCTTTTTGACTTGACATCACTACATGAATTATATAAATCCATTAATGCTAATCGAATTTGAGGAGTTTGAAATTTAATAGCTCTAACACTTTTAATTCTACTTTCCCATCGAGTATTTGACAAGGATTTTACCGTTAAACCAGATATATTGTTAAGCAAAAAATTTCATCTTTTTGTAGAACTTGAAAATAGTATATATATGCGTTGTACAACTCCAAAAAATGATATAGCTTTCACACAAAAGTTTGTCGTATCACAAAGAGTAAGATTTAGACTATGACAAACACATGACATATAAAAAGCCCTATGATTGATATCAAGTAATTGTTTTTGAACACCTTGGTGCTTACCTTTCATATTAGAACTATTATCATAACTTTGTTTGCCTCTAATATTAGCAATATCAAGATCAAGAGATTTAAGCGTATTTACTAATTCATTAAAAAGCTCTAACCCACTTGTATCATCTACTTTTAAGAACTCTAAAATATGTTCTTCAATTTTTATCATACTATTTGACATATTTACACAACATATAATCAAAGTCATTTGCTACTGATGACTCGCATCTGGGGTACAATCAAGAATAATAGAAAAATATTTTGATTCTTTAATAGTTTTTATAATTGAATTTTTAATACCAATAGCCAACAATAAAATTAACTCATTTTGAATTTTAAGACCGAGATAATGATAATAAACGTCTTGATCTTAAATTCGTCTAACGTGATCTTGCATTACTAAATCAAATTCAGAAATCATTTCAATCAATCCTAAAAAATTGTCATTGCTATTTTGATAAAGTTTTGTATTTGATCCTCAAAAAAGCTAAATTATATTTAGCTAGACAACATAAATAACTATTATCAAAACATGTCTCTAACGTTCTTTTTCTTTCCCAATTTTTTGTTGCAAATCTTTATCAATTGTTTGATTATTGACAAATCTTATTTTTACTTCATTCTAAGTTTTCATATTAGTAATATGTTCAAAACTATTCTCATATGTTCTAAATCTATCTCCAAGATGTTTCGGTCATTTAATCCATCACCTGCTAAATAACATTTATTATTATTGGATTTAAATAACTTGCAACAAAAACAATATACTTCATCTTCATATTTAAAATAAACTAACCAGGTCTAAAATCTCACCATTTTTTAATTTTCTAGTGTAATGAATATTTGAAAAATATCGAGAAGTACTATCGAAGGGAAAAGTAAGATTTAAGTCTCTTCTCGGTCTATTTTCAATTAAAATATCTTTTTTTATTATCAAGATTATTCCAATACCTAGGGTCATAAATAAATAAACTGTCATCTAAACTATCATCATCAACTATATTTACATCATTATCATATTCATCCAAATTATTATCATTAAATTCGTCAATATTATTTTTATTTTCAGTATTTAATTCATCGTTGGATTCCAACTGATCAATATCATCTATATTCAAATTAGCACCGGAAGAACCTATATTTCTAAAAAAAAAATTTATCAAAAGATCTTTTTTGCGATTCTACCAATTGCTCAATCTGTTTTCTTTTTTTTTTTTTTTAAATATTTTATTGACAACATTGCTATAGAAATATATTAAATAATAACAAAATATATTTAACAAATTTTATTCACAATTCTTTCCTTGTCCTTGTTCAGTTATTTGTATTATCTGCAAAATATATATATATATATATAAAACCTTAACCTATAACACTAAAAAAAAAATCAATTAAAAAAATTAATTGCAAATATTTTTCAAATAAAAATTGCATCTATTATCTATATCATTGTAATATTATATATAAACTTAAAAAAAAATCTAAAATTGAACAAATCAATTCAATTAAAATATTGTAAAATTAAGCAAATAAATTCAAATAAGTGAAAAGTATTGCATAACCATCAACCACCAAAATTAAAAAAATAAAATAAAAAAAAAAGAAACTATACAAAACATAAAATGAAGTATAATTTTATTTGAAGAGCAAGTAAAAATGGAACGCCGAGAGCATACTAAATATGGCAGAGAGTACGGAGAGATTCATGGCGGCCATGTATGGTATGGTATAAGCATAGGGGTAAGTTGGAGCATCTGAGGACCCGTGTTTGTCCTCGTCCTCGTCCTCCTCCTAGCTACATCTCCACGACGCCCTCTCTGCGCACGCAGTTTGGCCGTGGATGATGATCGCCCCACCGCTTGCCTGAAGAGGCATGCGCGCAGGTGTTGATCAATTGAATTTAATTAATTTGAATTGATCCGCGCTCCACGTTGACCCCCTTCTCCCGTCAAAATTCCCTCAATTTTTTCACCACTTGCGTTGTTTGTTGTCCTCTGATTGTCGGAACTTCTAATTCCTTCTTTTACGTGTATGATGGTGCTGTGCTATATTCGAATTGTTTATTTATGTTTAATGGCGGATTTTGATAATTAATGTCCTGCTGCATTCTAATATTATAATTGTTGTTATTTCCTTCCGGCTGGCTGGCTTCATTACTGCATTCCATTCCCTCGGGTTTGGCTTTTGCAATTGCCGTTTATACTTGATCCATAAATTAATAAGTGTTGTGGAGTCTGAAGCTTGCTGCAATAAATTGTTGTTTGAGGAGGGGGAGGAAGTTAGGTTGCAATACAGGTGAGTGACTGAGGCAGTCAGTCACATGGGGAACAACTGCTCGGGCTCTAAGTCGGAGAACAACAATGGATTCTGTCATTCTGTGACGGTTGCAATATGGAAACATCGATCATCATCACCAGCAGCAGCAGATTCAAGCAAAGAGAAAGGGGCCAGCAGCAATGGCATCGAGAATAACAACAATAACATTAGCGGCAAGTCGTTTGATGTGCAAAACACTCCGCCTACACCGATCAAAATTTCAAGTAATGAGCTCACCAAATCAACAGTAAAGGCTGAAGAAAACAACAACAATGGCAATAGTCAAAAGGAGGCGGCAGCAGCAGTAGCAGCAGAGCCAAAGCACAAAAAGTCGATCAAATTTAAGAGAGTAGCCAGTGCAGGGCTGCAAGTGGAATCAGTTTTGAAGCGGAGGACCGAAAATTTGAAGGATAAATATCACGTGGGGAAGAAATTAGGGCAGGGGCAGTTTGGCACTACCTATTTATGTTTGGAGAAGGGCACCAACCGAGAGTTTGCCTGCAAAACAATTGCAAAGAGGAAGTTGACGACATCGGCGGATGTGGAGGATGTCAGGAAAGAAATTCAGATAATGCATCACCTGGCGGGACACACGAATATCATAAACATTGTGGGAGCTTATGAGGATGCGGTCGCAGTTCATCTTGTGATGGAACTCTGTGCAGGAGGAGAACTTTTCGACAGAATCATACAAAGGGGGCATTACTCGGAGAGAAAGGCTGCTGAGCTGGGCAGGGTAATAGTTGGTGTCATAGAGGCCTGTCATTCCATGGGAGTTATGCATAGAGACTTGAAACCAGAGAACTTCCTGTTTGTCGACGAGCACGAGGATTCGCTGCTTAAGACCATCGATTTTGGGCTTTCTGTGTTCTTTAAGCCAGGTAGGTCAGGTGAATAATAATCATAATAATAGTTAGCTTTTGAACGCACGCAGTCACCGTTGTTTTGTACGTTTGTTCAGGTGAAACATTCAGTGATGTTGTGGGTAGCCCGTATTATGTAGCCCCGGAGGTGCTGAAGAAACATTATGGTCCTGAATGTGATATATGGAGCGCTGGGGTTATCATTTATATTCTGTTGTGTGGAGTTCCGCCATTTTGGGACGGTAATTAGCACAAACAAGCTAAACATACTCATATATTCATTCATTCCATAATATTTTTGTTTCTTTTCTTGGTTTGTTACATCTGATCTGATTTGACATTTGCACATATGCTTGCTTGATGATTTTGATCAGAAACGGAGCAGGGCATTTTTGAGCAAGTTTTAAAAGGGGAACTTGACTTCGCTTCTGAACCTTGGCCCAGCGTCTCGGAGGGTGCAAAAGATTTAGTCAGAAGAATGCTTGAATGCGACCCCAGAAAACGGCTCACAGCCCATGAAGTTCTATGTGAGGATGACGACATTACATATCTCGGTGGCTAATTGCTCTGCTCTCTACAATTAATTCTTAACTAATTAACCGTGGTGCAGGCCATCCATGGATACAAGTTGATGGATTAGCACCTGATAAGCCTCTTGATCCTGCGGTCCTCTCTCGTCTCAAGCAATTTTCTGCCATGAACAAACTCAAAAAGATTGCCATCAGAGTAAGTGTTCCTGTTCCTGTTCCTGAACTTAACCTCAAATTTGTACAAGTGATGGAGGCAGAGGCACAATTCATAATGTATGAATGATGGATCATCTGGGTTGTCCGGCACAACAAACATAAACATGCAGGTCATCGCTGAAAGACTCTCGGAAGAAGAAATCGCAGGGCTGAAGGAAATGTTCAAAATGATAGATGTGGACGGCAGCGGACATATTACCCTGGAAGAACTCAAAACAGGTTTGGAAAGAGTTGGCGCCAATCTCAACCAGTCTGAAATAGTTGGCCTCATGCAAGCTGTAAGCATCCACTCTATACAATTTACTATACTATACTAGCTTAACACACACACAGACAGATCGATTTTGAGTAGTCGTTGTTCTTAATTCCTTACTTCATTGTATGTATACATTCCAGGCGGATGTTGACAACAGTGGCACATTGGACTACGGGGAGTTCTTGGCAGCAATGGTACATATGAACAAAATCCAGAGAGAGGACCATATGATGGCAGCTTTCTCATACTTGGACAAAGACGGCAGCGGCTACATCACACGGGATGAGCTCCAGCAGGCTTGCCAGCAATTCGGCCTCCAAGACCACCACATCGATGAAATCCTCCGCGAAGTTGACAAGGATAATGTACACAAATCCACTATCCCATCCTCTATCCGATCCGATCCTATAACATGACATAGTATTACAAATGTAATGACTACTTACCACTTGTTGGTTTTATTGCAGGACGGCCGGATTGATTACAGTGAGTTCACTGCCATGATGCAAGACAATGGTTTGAGCATTAATTCAAGAATAGAGGGATCATCATCGTCGTCGTCGTCATCATCACCCAACAACAGCCCAGGTTCTCCTTGACTCTGATTTTACTATAATATATTGATTAAGTGTATATTAATATATTCTACGAGTAGCTGGAGTCCATTTTGTTGTAAAGAGAGCAAGGAGCCCTTCTTCATATCTACATTTCCTCTAGATATAAATCCATCCATCCATATCCCTTTTAGTTTTGTCATCATTCAAAATTGTTCTCCATCATTGTTTGGCTGTTGTTATCTATATATCGCTCCTCCTCCGCTCCCTAATATTTTTTATGTTATAATTCGGAAAAGATTGGATATTTGGTACTGTGCTCGCTCGCTCGCTCGTTCTTTATTCTTTTAGAATTCTGAATTTACTTGGGGTGTGTTAGATTGTAGGATTTTGATTTTGATAAAATTCTACTATTCATCCAAAATTTTCCTTTCAAAAATATCAAATCAAACACCTATTTTTTATTTTTTATATTATACTAAAAATTAATTTTACATTCAAAACATCACATCAATACCTATTTATATCACATTGTGCAACTATTAAAATTCAAAATTTTTACTATTCAAATCCCAACTCAAAATCCAAATCTCCAAACAAACACACATTTTAATAGGAGTTGCTAGATTAAAAGTTAAAATGATATTTTGTTTGTGATCCAAAATTAAAGTATTATATCGATCTGGTCTGTCGATCCCCTAAACTTAAAATTGTTTGATTTTTACTGTCTCAGTGAATGCTAATTCAAAATATTATTTTTATCATTTTCATCTAGTTCATTTCAAATATCTCATTTTTATTTTAGAAAATATAATTATATACTCATACTAAAATATCTTTTTAACTTTTACTTAAATTTGAAATATATTATTACACATAAAAATATCAAAATGTTTTACACTAAATCCCTTTAAAATGGACATGAGAGAGTATAATTTATTTATAGCAAAACATTTTGGGTTTCTTTCTTTAACAAAATCTTTTAAACATATTTTTCAAAAAAAAATTAATATAATACACACTCGTTATTTTTATTTCATAACTAGATATCCATTTGCATTTTGCAACTTAATTTTAGAAATATTAGTATTATATTGGGATGTAGTAGAAATAAAGTATAAATGACTAAAATAACCTTATTAATATGTATGATATAAAAGTAATGACATTTGTGTAAGATATTGTAAGTTGTAAGGGTATTTGTAATGATAAGTAGATAGTACTTTGTTATGGGACGAACTAAAATAGAAAAAATTGATACTTTATTATGGGACGGAGAAAGTATATTATTTACATAATTTTTTATATCTCACGTCAAAATACAAAACAAACCCCACCCTTCATTCATTTATAGTTTTATTACTGCTAAGGTGTATTTACTTTGGTTTACTAATCCGATCTAATTATATATTTAAGGTATTATGAATATTAAAGAGACAATTTTATTTTTTTATTAATATTTAATTTATTATTACTTTTATTATATAATTACGATATTTTAGACGAATATTGTATCATTTGATTATAAAAATCTATTAAAATAATAATATATATTATAATTATATTCCATCAAATAAATACATCTTTAATTAATAATTAATAATAATAATTTCACCAGTCCACCTAATGATGTGTAACTTTTCAAGCCGGAGGAAGTAATATAATAAAAAAAATATTATTTTGTTCTCCCGACACCAATTTTCCAAATGCAATTCTAAAATAATAATAATAATATTAAATAAAAAGTATTTTATACAAAAATCATTCTCTCACATAACCTAAAATATTTGAGGTTTTACCTTTACAAATTTTTTTTTCAAATACTCTAAAATCTTTAAAAATCATATATTAATAGAGTATAATTTTATTATATTTTTGTTTCTCAAAAAATGTGTTTGACAAATAATTTTTTCAAAAACTTTCAACTTATTAAATAATTTTTAGTTATTTTTAGTAGTTTGGTAAACTAATTTTTAAAATTAAGTTATTGGATAAAAAAATTAATTTATAAAATACTATATAACTCAACATTTGAAAGTTTTTTTTTCATTTTAATTTTTTTATTCTTTGTTTGTCCTTAAAATTATTATTTATTTCACGCACATACAAATTTATATGGATGTATAGGTATTTGCAGCAATTATTAATTATTTTAATATATTCTATTTATTAATTTATAATTTTATTTTTATATATAAATTAATATATATAATTTATTTTATTTATAAAAATTATAAATTTATTAAAATAAAAATAAAATAGAAAACATAAATATTATCAATAAAGGTCTGTTTCTTCGGACCCGTCTGAGATTTGTTACTACTACATAGCAGTCGACACGAGCTGCAGAGCTTTATAGCTGTTTGCTTGTGTTTATTTAAAAAAATTTAACATAATTTATTTAATATTTATAATAATTATTTGTTAAAAAATATATAATATATATATATCATTAGGTAAAGAGTACATTTTTCTATAATACAAATAAATAAAAAGTTAAAAATATTTATGTTGAATTAATATAAATTTATAATCAAATCATACAATTACTAATTTATCAATTAAATTTAATATATATATTTATATTTGTTGATGTAATTTTTCAACAAAAATAAAGTAAAATTCAAAGATATAGAAAATATCCTTAAACTTGATTAATTAGTGCCTGAGATTAGGAATCTCTAAACACTGTATGGTACAGAAAATAAACTGGAAAATAAAAGACTGAAATTTAAAGTGGTGATCCCCAAATCTGACTTTGCTTTGTTGAAGTTGATTGAAGATGCCTTGCCAAATGATTATCCAAGCCTTTAAATATTCTCTGGGAAACCGTACCGAAAACCGTCACCCGAACGGTTACAATGTCTCCTTCCCAACTGTCTTCCAACCCTTCTCATGCTGACACGCGTCCCCAGCAGACCAAAATTATCCCTATATTTCACTCTTTGAGCCGACCACAGACCTTCCGCTCTTTTGGCCCGACTGCCAATCTACAATAGTATGGGTCCGACTGCCAATCCTCCCGACTTGCGAACCATCTGGCTTGAGGTCTTTCCGCCTTGAGGACTTCCCGACCTGAAAACCTTCCAACTTGAGGTCTTTCCGTCTTGAGGAACTCCCGACCTGAAAACCTTCCGACTTGAGGTCTTTCCGCCTTGAGGACTTCCCGACCTGAAAACCTTCCGACTTGAGGTCTTTCCGTCTTGAGGACCTCCCGACCTGAAAACCTTCCGACTTGAGGTCTTTCCGCCTTGAGGACTTCCCGACCTGAAAACCTTCCGACTTGAGGTCTTTCCGTCTTGAGGACCTCCCGACCTGAAAACCTTCCGACTTGAGGTCTTTCCGCCTTGAGGACTTCCCGACCTGAAAACCTTCCGACTTGAGGTCTTTCCGTCTTGAGGACTTCCCGACCTGAAAACCTTCCGACTTGAGGTCTTTCCGTCTTGAGGACCTACCGACCTGAGGTCCTTCCGTCCTGATGACTTTCCGTCTTGAGGATCTCCCGACCTGAAGACCTTCCGACCTGAGGTCCTTCCGTCTTGAGGACCTACCGACCTGAGGTCCTTCCGTCCTAATGACTTTCCGTTTTGAGGACCTACCGACCTGAAGACCTTCCGACCTGAGGACTTTCCTTAGTAATAAACCTATTTTCCTTGATTTCCTCATGGTGCCCTTCAGTCAGTTCAATCAACTCTATTGCCAGGCCCATTCTTCTTTTTACCTTGGGCTTTTAACCTAATTCTAAATTTCGTACATAACAACTTGCCCGCCGCCAAGGGACTTTCAAACGCCATTTAACAATCAATGTTTGGAAGTTCATAAATCACCACCATCTTGAAAAACTCCCTTAGCAACTGCACCAGTTACTGCAACACAAGCTCTTGTGAATCACAATCTCAAAACACTCTAACCATGGCGAATCAATACATTCCTGCCCTTCCCTTCGACGGAACCTTCCCGGAGGGCACATTTTCAGCCTCGAAAGTACTAACTCCGACGATCCGTCCATATTGCACTACTCTTGAAGATTCAAATCGGATGAGGGAAGTCTTGGAATCCCGAAATTCCTTGGCTATCAACAGCCCTAACTACCAAGCAGTTCGCATTCGAGACAGCATCAAAACCCATCTCACAGACCCAAAAGATCCTTACCGCGCTTGGTATCGACGGGTAGCAGAACACTTCCAGACCCAATGGCGTTCCCAAAAGATCAACCAAGCAATACTACTGTCCACCATGCCTATCAACCTGCATGAGAAGGTGCTGTTGGCCATGTCTGCCTTCTGGAATGCGGAAAATGGGACTTTCCTCTTCCCATCGGGCCCCTTTGGCCCAACTCTTATGGACGTTGCAATGATCGCGCATCTCCCAGTCGTGGGTGAAGACCCTGTAATGGGAGCCCTAGATGGGCAGGAGCCATCAGAAGACCATCCAGGGTGGTCTTTACAAGGTGTGAAGGAATGGGGTTGGACAAAGTTCGCAACCGACCAGCAAGGGGCTCCAGGGACCCCTGTAACCGACCGGGAGCATACTGCCTTTATCCTTTTTTGGCTTTGTAGGTACGTCATTGTTTCCCCTTCCAAATGTGTTCTTCCTTCTCATCTCGACCTAGCCATTCATATCGCGTCAGGTCGTTTTTTCTCTCTTGGCACCCTGTTTTTAGCCAATCTGTTTGAAGGACTCACTAGAGTTAGCCTTCGTTTAACAGATAATGATAATAGGAAATTAGACACTGCCGCGTCGGGTCCTTTTTGGTTTTTAGAACTTTGGTTCCGGCTCTACTTCCCCAACGCGTTTAACTTAGGATCTCCGCCCACTATGCCAACAGCTGAAAAACATTTGGGATTAGCCCTTAACCGACTCTGCTCAGGACGCAATAACCTCCAATCTTCCGATCCAATAATAATCGCAGTTTTAACAGATACCCGCAGTAACTCTCGATTTTCTATGTATAAAAAATATGCGGGCTATGCTCCCGACCATTTTTGGCCTTTTCCAGTACCAAATCCGCTTCCGACTCCTGAGCCTTGTCCTCATTCCACTTATCCTTTTGCCTGGGACGTTGCCCTCAAACCCAGGTCTCTTTTTAGTAGCAAAAAACTTGATAAAAAGGGGCAGAAAAACTTTTACACTTTTAATTATGAACCTCAATTCATGGCGCGCCAGTTCGGCTGTTGCCAAGGTATCCCTGGACCCGTCGCGTGTCCGCATATAATTTTTCAAAGCCCTGACCGACGAGTCCTACCGAATTCAATCCCTTC